GGGTGTACCATTTTAAAAAAACTATTTAGTTCGTCTTGTTGTTTATTTCCTTACAGATTGCTCGGTATTACAATATGGTGCAATCTATAAGGAAATAAATTGTATAGTATATTTTAAAATCATCAGCAAAAAGCTTAAATTTTCTATATTTAAAACAACTATCAGTATCAATTAAATATAATAAGAATAACCATGGGGATAGATGTTAGATGTAGAGATACACCAAACGTAACAGGAAATTTAAAAGAAAAATATCCATTAACTAATACTTGTTGAAAACATGTTGTCAAGTATGATCTGAACCACTTTAAGAAATTTCCGGATATTTCGATTGCGTTTAATTTTAAAATAAGGATGTTATGATTCACTGAGTCGAGTGCTTTTCGGATATCCGTATTTATAAAATCAACTTGAATACTAGTCTCCGCGGGTTCTAATAAATCCATGTAAAACATAAGAGTTAAGTTTCTGTAGACAATTTGATTAAAAAAAAAGTACATTTTTTAGTGATCGTGAAAGTGGTGGCTTTAGTTGTTTTTAAAATAATTTGAGGAGTGATGATAACTTAGAAATAAGTCTACATTTAGATACAGAAAACTTACAGCCGGTTTTTATGAGTTGGAATAACATAACTAAGTTTTAAAAGAAACGGAAAATTTTCACTATTTAGTGACCAGTTGAAAAGAATTTGTATTGGAAAAGATAATGTATGTCAACATGATTTTAAGAAAACTTCAGAATCTCCATCTGAGCCCGAAATAAATTTAAAAGTTAGTTCTTCACATCTGAAATATATATCGGATATAAAAATTTTCAGAGATGGTAGATCGATCATATCAGGAATAGAATGTTTAAAATAATTAGTATTTGGATTATTATTTATGTATACTAAGCTAAAAAGTTCTTTAAACAAATCGGCTATTCTATGATCACCGGTCTTAGGGATATTATTTAACTCCATTACTGGTATATCATTATCTTTTTTGGGCTTTTAATATATATTTATATAGTTTATTACTATAACCAGGGTCGTAGTGACCTAATATTGCGACCGGGACGAAACTTTAAAATACGGCCTTAAATATTTTAGTTTATAAAAAAAACGAAATATTTTTTATAAATGTAATACAAATAATGATTTTTTTCTTATAATTATGTAAGCGTTAATTAATTTTATTTAACTCAATAACTTATTAAAATATTAATATATATATATATATATATAATAATTATAAGTAGATTTATAGGTACAACATAATAATGTTTTATAAGTTAAATAAGTAATTATATAAATATTGGTACATAATATTGTTTTTACTTATAAGTAACAATTAAATTGCAAATTTTTAATTTTTGCTTTCTCCCGGGAATTGCTCTCCTGGCATAGGCACTTCTTGCCAACTTTCTACGGCCCTGAATATACCATAATGGGAATGCAAAATTAACATTTTTAAATTTGGGGATAAGTTTGTGTATAGCATCAGATTAAATTGTAAAAACTTTCAACGACTGATGTAAGTGTAGGTTGATTTAAGAGAATATAATTCCACTTTATTGAACATAAATGGTGGTTCATGATATTGTAATTTTCTCGGGAAAAATTAAGTTCAACATTTTGTTTCTTGAGTGTTTTATTTAAGTTACAATTTGGACCGACTATTTAGAGGGACAGGTGATACAAATTTTCCTTAACCAATGGAATAATATTTTTTGCAGCTGTTATATCTGGTTTATTTAGAAAAAAATTTACTCAAGGATATTGCCACGTTGTTTTTTTATGAAATTAAATTAAATTAGTTCCTGTAATACTATTGATTCTTATAATATGCCTGCTTTGTTGCTTCTTAGCCCATCAATTCGGAAGGGATATTAACGGGACAATGTTATTACTTATCACTATCTAGCATTAAAAATCTGATTTATAATTTATTATTGCATTCATTTGCATATAAAAAACACTAAAAAACTAATTATAAATTGAAATTAGTATGTTACTGGTTTTTTAAGCATCAATTATAATTTATAATAAAAATATAATATAAAATCGATATTTATAATATTTAACTTCTATCTATGCATCTAAATACACTAGTATTAAAATGAAAATATTTGAATGGTACAATAAAACCATATTTCAAATGTACTTTGAACACGTGTAATCTTTAGAGTACCTACTGGGTACTACTGCATTGCGTCGACTGGTATGATTGACACGATATAACTTTAACGTTCTGTCTAAAATCGATTTTAGTACTCTCCATAATGTAATTATGAAAATACAACTACCATTTAGGAATAAATAAATGTTCAACTATATCGTATATAATTTAATCTCTATGGTGAAATTAAATTTTCATTGCTAAACTAAATGTAAAAACGAATGAAAATTTAAAACCGATTTAAAATAAAATGTCTTATAATTCTTTCTCACAGAGCTCTATAAATACTTTTATACTTATAGTAATTATCTTATAAATATAAATCCTATCAGAATAATTAAAAATTAAATATAAGAATTAATTTTTTAATTAATTGCTAAAATATTTGTTCTCGGTTCATATTTTTTCAAGGATTAATAATAATAATGAAATTAATTTTTTAGAATAGTTCGCAACTAAAGAAACATTTATTTTTCGTGTTAATCTTAATTTTTTTGCTTCCATTAATAATTAAATAATTAATCCACAGTATAAGATATTTAAAATAAAGAATATTTTAATTCCCTTAAAGGTTCGAAATGCAATAAATAAATATTCAATAGAACATTTACTGCCTAAAAACTGTTTAATCGATTCATTCTTTGAGGAATTAATTTTACATCTACAGAATATCATATCTAGGTAAACTGAAAAGTTAGATTTATTTCTAGTTTATTGTACTTTAACGATTTTTTTTTTTAAATACAACTTCAAAGTAGTAATTACAATATTTCAAAAAAATGTATTTTAATTTCAATATATTGTAAATTTATATATATAGTATAGATAATTATGCTAAAACATAATATAAAAAAATAAATAATAATATATAAAAATATTAATCACCAGTAATAAATTGCATATATTAAGTTTCAGAAACTCACCATAATAAAAATAAACATAGTACAAAATGAGTGTTTTCAATTTTCAATTTATGATCTCATACATGGCTTTATACATATGTTTATATTTTGTACATATGGTATAAATAATTTATATTCATTTATTATCAGTTATTTATCTTTGTTTTATAGATACAATGAAATATTCTAAATTATATAAATGCTTATATTATTGCGAATTTTCACATCACAGATATTTATTAAGATCAATTATTATATTATATATAGAGATAAAATAAATGTATGTGTGCAGGCGAAATATACAAAAACTTATTTTAGTGCTTACCAATATATAAGCGATTTAAAAGTAAATTAATTTAAATAATATTCATATATTATTTTAATGTTATGTTAATATAACATAACTTTATATTATAAGTTAATACAATTTTTAATTATATAAGTATTCATTAATTGTTTAGTTTTTTTTTACTCAAAGTTTTAAATTATTAGATTAAAATTAAAATTTTAGAAATGTTGTGCATTTGTCAGTTCATTGATAAATGATGCATACGATTTCAATACTACTTAACACTTTTTTTTTATCAAAAAATTTATATTCACAAAAATATTAAATAAAAAAAGGATAAATTCTTGAATTATGTATAAAATACTTGATATTGATTGTCGAGTATAATTAAAATTATAAATATAAGAAATTATAACAAATAAAGCATCTGATAAATACCTATAATTTGTCTATAATATATTTATAATTCTGGAAATAATTACAAATTTTTCTATTATAAAATAAAATAAATAAGGTAATAAAATATGAATATAAATGTAATATATCAATATAAATATAATATATAAATTATACATACAAATATCAAAATAATTTATTTAAATTAATTTTTCAGAAATTTTATTTTATTTTACCATTTTACAAGAATTTGTCGAAACGATTAAAAATTTAAATTTTTAATTTAATTTTTAAATTAATTTTGAAAACAGTTGAATTACAAAACTCAATTGAATTTTTTCTAATTGAATATTAATAATAGGATTTAAAAAATAATCTGAACTCAAAACATTGTTTCTGTAAATTTAATATATGCCAATTTAAATTGTTTTTGAAAACTTTTTTACACGTTTAACTTTTAATTAGTATAATTTATAAACTATGTCCAATATAAATATATATATTGGAATAGATATTGGAATAAGAATTTATCATATATATATATATAATAAATATACATATTAGAGATGTATCATTCGTTTGTTATAAGTATCTTAAAACAGTTATATTTTATAAAAAACTTATAAATCATTAATTCTTTTGGAACACAACCTACGTACCTAAAATGTCATTGAGACACTTACGTTTTGTTTTTCATTCGGTATTGAATTTTTTTTTTATATTTGAAATTCCGGTTCTCGATAATGTTAGTGTTACGTACTCACAATAACCGATAGACGAATTTTTAATGCGAGATTAATGAATCCCCAGTCTATAAGATTTTAATTTTTTATTTTTTTTTTCGATGTGATATGCCGACACACAATGTGTTATGTACCTACTGTATGGTTTTCAACCGTTACGTTTTTAGGCGTTGTGGATCATGTACAAATGTACTGACGCGTAAGCGACGGCATCGAATATATTTGACTTTTGATAATTATTAAATTAATTTATATTATTAATCGAATTAATTAATTCTGGGGTGAGAACAATCGGGACGAAGTCGTTCGTCGTGCCGAAATCTTTCTGCCGAACAGATCAAAACGGTAGCCGGGTAATGAGATATGTGGAACGTCTAAACACAGGGTGTGTGGAAACGGACGTTCTCGCGGCGAACAACAGTCGCGCCTGAGAGGTGGCGGCCGAAGGGGTTGACAGTGTTGAAAATACGCTTGGGCGCGCGCGGGGCAAAGCCGACGGAAAAACACTCACCCAGCGCCGAGCGAACCCTTTGCCCGAATGTTGGCGTTCGGCGACAACGGCCGTACGTTCGCATGCCGGGCCAACGCCGGCGGAGCAGCAGCAGCGTCGAGGGGGCACCGGGACGGCCGCGGGCGGTTACCACGTGCGACGACGGTGCGCCCCCGGGACGCGCGTGGTGAGCGACCGAGTGGCGCGAAGTCGTCCGAAGACGGTGCTGAGGCGTACAGCGGCCGGGGGCACGTGCGCGCACGGAGACGTGTGTCGTGCGACTCGGCGGCGGCGGCGAGGATAATCGAGCGACGTGCACAGCCGGAGGACCCCGTGTGCGCGGTGTGGCCGTGCCGCACAACGACTGAACGCGGTGACACGACGCCGCGGATGGTAGCGTCGACGGCGGCAGGAATCGGCGGTGTTACGTG